AAGTTATTTTTATCATGATTTTAAATTTGGATTCTAGATAATAGTAGAATTTCTACAATTTTGGCACTTGATATACTATTCTCTGTGGGACAATACTTTACTTATCACTTTTATTACTTAAAAAATTTTAATGTACTTGCGAATTTGTCTATCAATACTGTTATACACACATACACACATAATATGCCATACATTCCACCATCATATACATATGCCCTTTTCATAGGATAAAGATAAGAATAATTATATGCAAATAAATACAAGAAATCTAATAATACTATCTATAATTTTCGAAGAAAATATTGGAAACTGGTTGAGAAAACGTGTCCGAGCTTCAGAAATCGAACACTATCCATTCTTATTGGAATCCTAATCGGAAAGGAAATAAAAAAAAAAAATTGAACAGCTTCAAGTTTCATACAACTAGCTCCCCTTCTAGTTTTCTACTCCTAATAACCTAAAAAATTGCATAAACATGATTAGATCAAGGGTTTAATCCAATGCGAAAATGAATCCTAGTCGTCCAACTTTCCTTCTTTAAATCATGACCGTCAGATGGAGAATTTCATTAAGGGGTTTTTAGGTCTTTTTATCTTTCGCTAATCTTATTTGTTTGTTTTAAAGGTATGAGATCTAGACCGTCCTTGTGCCCATGTATCTCAACCATTTAATTGGCTTAATCTCAGTTGTTTGATTTGTATACCTTTATGCTTGCATAAATGTTCATGCATGCAAGTCAGCTTACGTGGCTGCCCACGCAAAAAGATTTGATTGGGCTGGACACATAATCATTTGGATGTGGTATGTTTTCCAGAATTGCGCTTCCACTCTTATCCGCCCGAAATTCTTGTAATTAGGTCCCTAGTTAATTACAGTTTTGCCATAAGCTAATATTTTCTTTTTAATGAGGTCCCTGTAAATAAATTTAATAATTTTTCAGGGTTTTTCTTAAATTTTAAAATTTCTTGGGATTTCTTTTTTATTCCCAAAATACTCCTAGTTCACACATTTAATTTTCAAATGTATTTTATTCAATTTTTTTTACCTAAATTTTCAAAATCTTTAAATTAAGTCTCTCGAAAATATTTTTAGATTCACACATCCTAATTATGAGGTGTTATACTATAATTATGATAAATAACATATATGGTTAACTATAAGTTACAACTAAATTCCTTATGATAAGAAAGTTTGTTGTGAAGTATCTAATTTTGTAACAACTTTATTTTTGTTATAATTAAATTTTTTCTTATAAAAAAAGGATTATGAACCATAGAATTCGTGAAAGATATATTTTTTAACAAGTTAAAAAATTTTGTTGATAAAAGTATATCTTCTGTAACAAAAACAAATTTGTTGTAAAAATATATACTTTTAACAAATAACAAATTTGTTATGAAATATATATTTTTCAAACAAACTAAAAAAGTTGTTTTGTAGGAAGCACACTTTTTTCAACAATATTATCTTTTTATTATTAAACATAAATGTTTTTCTTTTTAAATTATAGCGATAAACTATTTTACAATTCAAATAATATAGAATGTTGTAAATTTTTTTTCCAATAAAATTAAATTTTTATCACAAAATTTAAGTAAAATAGACTTATTTGTTGGGGTAAAACATAAACACTTTTTTATTATAAAATCAACTTAATATTAAGAAAAAATATATACTAGTAATTTATTTTACTTTTTGAAGTTCTTTTTAAATATATACTTGTAATTTAATTTCTTATTTCTAATTCAAAGAAAACATATTATATAATAAACACTCCTGCACAAACAATGAATACAATATTACTAGTGACTATTGAAAAACATGTAATACACCCGACAAATATATTGCATTTTAGTTAAGACATGAGCTAATTAGTAACTATTTTTAGGAATTTAACTACATTGAAAATTTTCAATAAGAATCTTGAAATAGAAAAATATCTTCAAAAATTAAACTAAACTATTTTTACACCAACATGAATAAAGAATCACCTGTGACTCTTAAAACATATACGATATAATACTTTTATACTTAATATATGAATCACTCTATTATAATATCTGAAAATTTAATTATATCAGAATGTTTTAAAAAAATATTTAAAATAAAAATAATATCTACTAAAATCCAACCAAAGTACTCCTACACCAGCAATGAATATAAAATACTACTGGTGGTTCTTAAATAATATGTAATTAACCTTATAAACATACAACTTCCTTAACTAAGACATGAGTTACTTAATTACAATGTTTGAAAATCTAATAACATTGAAAAATTTTAGAAAAAAAAATTGAAATAAAAATTATATTGTAAAATCAAATCAAATTCATTATATTGTACATTTTTATCCAAAAGATAATGTCATAGTTTTTTGACAATCGCCCTCCACAATCACACTATGCACGCCCATAATCCTACAATCCCGAAACAAAAAGGCAATTCTAGACCTTCCACAACCTCAATTTACATAGGCTTTGCATAAATGCCACACTCATAGTGAAGTGCTATTAGATGATCAATTATCAAATGTTATGATATACAATTAAGATCGTTGCATCTTGAAAATTTAAGGTAATCCCAAAATTTGAAATTAAATTATATGTATAGGCATTGAGAATTCATTCAAACTTTTATTGGTTTAAGTTCAAATGTTGTATCATTTGTAATGAAGTTGGATCCTTTCTTAGTAAATTGGAAGGAAGTTTATTAACAATAGAAAAACTTTCTACTTAAATGGAATGTACAACTTTTTAAGTATTAAAATCCAATAAATGCTATATAATATGGTGAGAATAAAAGATACATAGCAGACACATTTAGAAAAAATTGACTTGGGTGTCCTACCCTTCTTTGCTTTAATCCTTAATAAAACTACTTTGAATTTAGCGTGTGTTGGATAAATTAAAATGATTATTAACTAAAAATGAGGTAAATGAAATATTTCAGTAATTTTATTATCAAGAATGCAGGAATGTTTTCCTTTTCGCTTTCCTTTTTTTTTTTTTTTTTTTTTTTTTTTTTAATTGTGTCTAACTAGCTTGTCCATGTGAGCTTCTGGGGTTTGTAGTTCTGTGCGAAAGTGTTTTTTTCTTTTTTTCTTGTTATATGCCTACATAATTTAAAAATAACTTAGGCTACCGCCATATGTATATGAATTTATAGTATACATGTAGCCACCAAAATTTTATTAACAACCACTATGTGGTGGCATATACGTACATCATTACTTTTGAAGGGTGGCAAGATGAAAGAAGTTCCCTTTCTGACTCTTGAGCTGAGCATATGTACCTCTCTCAACCACCTTCCCATCTGCAACAAAAGCAATGGAATCAAGCTTCTTGATGGTATTAAGACGATGAGCCACCACGATTGTTGTTCTTCCGACCATGATTCGATCCAAAGCTTCTTGCACAACCTCCTCTGATTGGACGTCAAGAGCACTGGTTGCTTCGTCTAGTAACAAAATTGTTGGCTTCCTAATTATGGCTCTCGCAATTGCAGTCCTCTGCTTTTGCCCTCCTGATAATTGCACCCCTCTTTCTCCACATTCTGTCTCGTATCCATCTTTTAATGCTCTGTTCGTAATTTTACATCAAACCCAGATTTTAGTTTATTTTAAATAATTAATTGAACTGATTATCTTAAAAATTTTAAAATAATACAAGTAAAAAAATCAAAAATATGAATTATAAATTCTTTAATAATTGATTGTTTATGAAGATACTTACGAGATAAATTCATGGGCATTGGCAGCTCTGGCAGCGTCAATGAGCTCATTCTCAGAGGCATCAAGCTTCCCCAACAGAATGTTGTCACGGATGCTGCCTGAGTAGATGACTGGGTCTTGGCTAACAAGAGCTGTGTGTCTCCTGTACCATTGAATATTTATTTCTCTTATGTCTATGCCATCCACCTTCACTGAACCGCTATCCACATCATAAAACCTTTGAATCAATCCTATTACTGTTGATTTTCCACACCCACTTCTCCCAACAAGTCCTATGCTTGTCCCTGCCTTCACCTCCAAGCAAAAGTTTTGCAAAATTAAGCTCTCTGGTCTACTCGGGTATGCGAAATCAACCTTCTTCATCTCTATCTTGCCATTTAGTTTCTCTAATTTCTTTCCCTTACAATCCTCCCCTCGCTAACCATAATATGTATAAACATGTATAAAGTTAATCAATGAATGATCAAAATATGTCAAACAATACTTGAACATAAATGGTTTTTGTTGATTTGAACTGTTGTGGACTTACTTTAGAGTAACCTGGGATCATGGATTGGCGGTCAAGAATCTGAAACACAGATGCAATTGCTGTTGAGCCCTTGGCTAAATCGGAAGTCATGCTTCCAGCTTCAGCTATGACCTTACCGGTACTAACCAATATGAAAAATGTCTTGAACACATCTCCTGCTGATATCTGTCCCTTTTCCACCAATGTACCTCCATACCAGAAATCTAATGCCCATGACATGAATGTCAAGCACTGAGCAGATCCCATTCCAATCCCAGCTAGCCATGTTTTTTTCCTTGCCTCTTTCCTTGTTTCCTCTTGAACCTTGTCGAAAATATTAAGAACTTTTTCTACACTGCCAAATGAAGTAACAATTCTGTGATTATAAACAGCTTCTACCGCAATTTGGGTGCTGTCATTTTGTGCCTTGACAAAGTTTGTGGAGATACTAGATAACAAAACTTTGCGTGTATAAAAACATAGGATCGTCAGTGGTTGAACTGCAATCATTACTAATGCAAGCTTCCAGGACACAACTAGTCCAATGATCATAGCAATGGTGACAGCAGAAGTTGTTTGAACTAATAGAGAAACTCTATCTGCTACTAGGGATTTAACCATAGAAGCTTCATTGCTCAATCTAGAGCATAAAGCACCACTGGAGTTTTGCTCTTCGTCAAACCAAGCAGCTTCAAAGCTCAACATCTTCTCTAGCATTCCTAATCTTATTCTCTTGGTTAGCCTCTCGCCCATGTAAGCAAAATTGTAATGTTGGAGAAGATTCAGAATGATGGAAACCAGTGTGAGTGAAGAGAATATCAAGGAGTATGTACGTATCCGAGCTTGCATTTCTTGATGGCTTTTGGCAAAGAAAGCTGAAATCATGCCTCCTATCGTCAAGGCATAAACAGGCTGCACTGCACCAAATGCTGCGGCTGACAGGCTTCCAATCAGACCTTGTTTCCACTCTGGCGAATTCAACATAAGAAGTCGCGTGAAGGAAGGAGGAGGGTTAGATGGTATTGACTTTGGACTCTCGATAGGCAATGGAGTAGAAAATAAAGACAATGGACTCCCAGCACTGCTCCTTGCAACAGAAGATATGCATGTTTCGGTGACTGTGTCGTGTTCATCACAGCTGAATTGTCTCTGCAGCTTTGCTAGTTTTGCGTAGTGGCCATTCCCATTGATAAGGTCCGTGTGTGAGCCTATTTCAACAATGCAACCATTGTTGACAACTGCAATGAGGTCTGCATTTTTTACTGTCGCAAGCTTGTGGGCCACAACCTAAGCATACAGAAACTAAGAGTTATGCTAGTTGTCATTTCAACATTGGAAATTAAAGTAGCATGACTTGCTTGAGATTTTGTATTATGGTATCATGCCTTTGATTTAAAACCTTTAAATAAATATATGCATTAACTTCAGTACTGTCAAAAGATTACCAGGGTGGTTCTCCCAATGGAAGCCTGATCAAGGGCATTTTGCACAAGAGTTTCTGATTCAGAGTCAAGCGCACTTGTTGCTTCATCGAGGAGTAAGATTACAGGATTCTTGATGACAGCTCTGGCAATAGCAATTCTCTGCTTTTGTCCTCCTGATAAAAGCGCTCCTCGCTCCCCAACCTGGGATATAATCTTAAAACTGTGTTTGTTTGATCATGGTAAGAATAATGGTAATCCTACACACTTTATGATCCTAAATTAGAATCAAATCATCTAATTAAGCAATATACTACACACCTTTGTTTCATACCCTTCTGGAAGCTGCCTTATGAAATTATGAGCATTTGCAGTCATGGCTGCAGCCATTACTTCATCCATGGTGGCATCAAGCTTCCCAAACAATATGTTTTCTTTTATGGACGTTCCAAACAAAGCGTGTTCTTGACTTACAAGTCCCATCTTCCCTCTGATCCATTTCAACTGTAGTCCTTTTATATCGAACCCATCGATCTTCATAACACCGCTGTTTACATCATAAAAACGTTGAACCAATGCAATTGCAGTGGACTTGCCACTTCCGCTTGCACCAACAAGAGCAACCGTCTTCCCTGCTTCAACTTTGAGGTTGAAGTCTTTGAGAACTACGGAATCCGGACGAGAAGGGTACGTGAAACTAACATGCTCAAATTCCATCTCGCCTTTAATCTTGTGTAGTATTAGTCCTTTTAGGTCTTCACCATCAATTTCTGGGGTCCGGTTAATCCTACTGAATATTCTCGTAGCAGCAACTGATGCTTCTGTGAAGTGCTTCACTTCAGGAAGTGCCATTCCAAGTGATCTGCATTTCACTTTTAACTTCACTGAAATGCTTAAATGTACTAAATAACAAGATTGATATTTCTTCAAGAAAAAACTAAACTCGGCGAAAAGGAATTAGGAAGAGAGAAATAGCATACAGTCCACTGAGAATAAAAGAAATGCCAGCAGCATAAATCCTTCCTCCACTATCGCCTTTATACATAACCAAATGGCCTCCGTACCAAGCAAGGAAAGCCCAGATTGCAAAAGAGAGCCCTGTGCTCCCAACAGCTAAACCTTTGGCCATACCTTGCTTTATTCCCAGCTTTGTTGTCTTGTCCAATATTGCAGAGTACCTGTCCGTGATTCTCCTCTCTGCGGTGAAGGAATACACAGTTTTGATGGAACTAAGAGCCTGCTCGACAATGGTGTTTGCTTTTGCGTACTCCTTGTACGACTTTTTCGACAAGTAAAGTAGGTATTTGCCATAAGTCATTCCAGGGATAATGAGAAGAAGCAGAGTTGGGAAAGCAACTATAGCCAATCTCCATGAGAAGTAAGTTGAGAATGCCAGCCCTGAGATGAACACAGATGTGTGCATCAAGAATATCGGAACCTGATCATCATCACACGAAACAAATAGGAAATTAGAAGAACAAATTAAGTAATGCATGAAAAACAATAATTAATGTTTATACCTTTTCGCTAAGTAGTTCTTGAATTAGACAAGTATCCTTTGAAATGCTATTGATGATTTCTGAAGTAGTTGCTTCTTGTGCGTCAAAGAATCCAACTTCTTGTCGTAGAACAGCTTCTAAGTACTTGTAACGAATCCTAAGAACTTGCCGCTCGCTAGTTTTGCTCCAGCAATAACCTTCTGCAAAAATTAATTGAGCTTCAAGAATTGAATATTTGTGCTGATAAATTTATGGAATTATTTGGTGATACAAACACGACATTTAGGTGCCATATCCTTAATTATACAAACTTACCCGTTCATTAAGCAAAGCAAGAAACAGTAAAAGAAATAGAAATTACCCATGAAAGAAGCCACCATGACTGCCAATCCCACATATACAAAATATAGACTGCACTGTAAATTAAAACAAGTAAAAATAAGGAAGAGAAGATGTGGGAAATGAAAGA